TTTTGAAGAGATGTGGTCTCAAACTCCTAGGCGTATGTGATCCTCGCATCTCAGTCTCCCAAAGTGCTAGGATTACAGGGGCAAGCTACTAAATTCAGCTTACAGGCATGTTATAAAACCAAACTTTATAAAAAAACAAATAGTTTCAATCTCATATAAACTCCTAATAGAGTGAAGAGGGATTACTCCCACCTCATTCTATGATGATGGTATAAACTGAATACCAAAATTGTCAAGGACAATGTAAGGGAGAGAAATTATAAGCCAATTTTAATTGTCATATATTCGCTGTGTTTCCTAGTTTTTGTATCTCATTCTTTGACATCTTGGGCCTTGTTGATCAGGAAAGGACTGTGTCTCCCAGGATTAACTGATTCCTAGAGATAGTGGAGACTCTCTGGTAAATTTTTCCTATGCAATGTAACCAATCCAGAGGGCCTCCCCTACCACAAATATCTTCCTCACAGGCTTCTTTCACTATGGGCCTCCATTCCTGTGTCCTATCACTTTGTGTCAAGTAACAGACAAAGAGGGGCAGCCAAGCCAATCAACCCTGAAGCCCATAGAAATTATTCAAACTACCCGATCCTAAACCTGTTTAGTCTGTTCACCCTGCTTTGCACATTTCGTCTCTGGAAAACCACAATAAAGGTTCTCCTGAAGTTCTCCCACTCCCTCTCAGGCTGCTACCTTGGAGTTCTTTTGTGCGGTGCTGTGTGGTGTGGCATATCCTCGTCCTCCTGGAACTGTGAGTAATATACTATCTTTTCAATGGCAATCATTTCCTAATCTGTTGGCTTCACCATACCTGAATGGGAATAAAATTTATATTTGAAAATAATCATAAACATAAATACAAAAGTCCTGCAATGTATAAGAAAAAATACTCTATCTCATCAAATCTAAGATGTCACTGACAGAAAGTTCACCATTATTTTGATATATCACTAAGAAAGAAAAATGAAGTCAATCAAACAATGATATACACTTTCTAACTTGAAAATTTAATTTCACACTTACTGAATTGGTATTTTAAACTTAAACATAGGTTTTTATTTCATAAAACTCTCGTACATATTTAAAAAAGTAAAATACATCTATGTTATTCCTAAAACAACTCTGTATTCAGAAACTGATTCTTTCTAATCACTTTCAACTCAGAGTCATTGGTGTCAATTTTTTTTCTCAAGCAACTTAATCCTTTCTTAAAAGAACTCATTAAAAAAAACCTAAGCTGGGCACAGTGGCTCACACCTGTAATCCTAGCACTTTGAGAAGCAGAAGCAAGAGGACTGCCTGAGTTCAGGGGTTCGAGACCAGCCTGGGCAATTTGGCAAGACCTCACCTCTACAATAAAAAAATTAGCCAGGTGTGGTGGCATGTGCCTGTAGTTCTGGGTACTTGGAAGGCTGAGATGGAAGGATCATCTGAGCCCAACAGGTGGAGGATGTAGTGGCTGTGAGCATGCCACTGCACTCCAGCTGCGAAAGAATGAGACTCATTTTTTAAAAAAAAGCTGGGCTCAGTGGCTCAGCCTGTAATCCCGTGCCTTTGGGAGGCTGAGGTGAGTGGATTGCCTGAGCCCACAGGTTCAAGACCTGCCTGGGCAGCGAGACCTCATCTCTACAATAAATCAAAAAATCAGCCGGGCATGGTAGCGCATGCCTGTAATTCCGGCTACTTGGAAGGCTGAGGTGGAAGGATTGCCGGAGCCCAGCAGGTCGAGGCTGCGGTGGCCGGGAGCGGCCACTGCACTCCAGTCTGGGCGACAGAGTGAGACTCCAACTCAAAAAATAAATAAATAAATAGATAAAAAATAAAAAGCCCCATCAAAATAGGTACAGAGGGAACATTCCTCAAAATAATAAAAGCCACTTATGACAAACCCACAGCCAACGCCATCCTGAACAGAGAAAAGTTGAATGCATTCCCCTTTAGAACCGAAACAAGGCAATGAGCCCTACCTTTACCAAGTCTACTTAACATAGTACTGAAAGTCCTAGTCAGAGCAATCAGGCAAGAGACAAATAAAGGGTATCCAAATTGAAAAAGAAGAAATAAAATATCTTGGTATGCCAACAATAAGATCTTAAACCAATGGTAAGAGCTTTTTTTTAAAAATCAGTCTTACTCCGTCACCCAGGCTGGAATGCAGTGGTTTGCTCACAGCTACCACAACTGCAACCTGCTGAACTCAGGTGATCCTCCTCAGTCTTCCAGGTAGCTGGAACTACAGGTGTGTGTTATCATGCCTAGCAAATTTTTTGATTTATTGTAGAGATGAGGTCTTATCAAGTTGCCCAGACTGGTCTAACACCCCTAGACTCAGGCAGTCTTCTCACCTCTGCCTCCCAAAGTGCTGGGACTACAGGTGTGAGCCACTGCCCTGGTTAACCATAAGATCTCATATGTGAAGAATGCTAAAGGCTCTTCTAAAAGACTTCAGGCATGAGCCTCTGTGTCTGGCCCTACTCTATTATTAAGATAGGAACTCTTTCAAGGCAATAGACAAAGCTCCTTCTTTCTTTTATTAGCACAAGCCCATAGCTTTACATCTTTTTTTAATAGATTAACAAATTAAAGATGTTAAAAGAAATTTTTTGTTGATTTTTGTTTTCAACCTTTCCTGCCTGAAATGTAATTAGAAGCAGTTCCTAAATACTAAAAGCTTTTCTGCAAGCAATGGAAGGACATCCAACCTCGCCCTAAATCTAGACTTCTAACTGATGCAGGCATTGCAGTCATTGAGAAAACACTCTGTGGAACTGATTCAGAAGTATTGTTTGGGAAGGAGTTATAAAAAGTGCTAACAGGCCAGGCTCGGTGGCTCAGCCTGTAATCCCGCGCCTTTAGGAGGCTGAGGTGAGTGGATTGCCTGAGCCTGTGGGTTCGAGACCCGCCTGGGCAGCAAGACCTCATCTCTACAATAAATCAAAAAATCAGCCAGGTGTGGTAGCGCATGCCTGTAATTCCGGCTACTTGGAAGGCTGAGGCGGAAGGATTGCCGGAGCCCAGTAGGTCGAGGCTGCGGCAGCCGGGAGCAGCCATTACACTCTAGTCTGGGTGACAGAGTGAGACTCCAACTCAAAAAAAATAAATAAAAGCTAATAACTTGGGAGAAAGAATTCCAAAAACATTCCCAGTTTCCACAGTGCCTTGATCCTACTGCATATTACTCTTACTTGCCTAAATTTCTTTTTTAAGTGACGGGATCTTACTATGTTACCATGCTGGTCTCAAACTCCTGGATTCAAGTGATTCTCTCATCTTGGCCTCCCAAAGTGCTGGGATTATAGGCATAAGCCACTGTGTCTGGCCATTTTTATTCCTGATTTACTTTTACTTACTCTATCTGAAATTTCATCAGTGAAATTTTTATTGAATTTAATAAACATATTTCTTTTTTTGTTTTTGAGTCGAGGTTTTACTGTCGCCCAGGCTGGAGTGTAGTGGGATGATCATGGCTCACCGCAGTCTCACACAGCTGGGCTCAGGTGATCCTCCCACCTCAGCCTCCTGAGCAGCTAAGTCTACAGGCATGTGCCACCATACCCAGCAAATTTTTTGATTTATTTGTAGAGATGAGGTCTCACTATGCTGCCCAGGCTGATCTCGAACTCTTGTGGTCAAGCGACCCTTCCACCTTAGCCTTCCAAAGTACTGGGATTATAAGCACGAACCACAGAACCTGGTCTGGTGTATTCTCTTAAAATGAAAAAACTTGGTGAGGCGCAGTGGATCATGCCTATAATCCAGCACTTTGGGATGCCGAGGTGAGAGGATTACCTGAGCCCATGAGTTCAAGACCAGCCTGAGCAATTTGACGAGACTTCATCTCTACAATAAATCAAAAAATAGTTGGGCATGGTGGTGCATGCCTGTAGGTCCAGCTATTTGGAAGGCAGAGGCAGAAGGATCAACTGAGTCTAGCATATGGAAGAGTGGGTTTTAATATGAGTATCAACCTAACCCATTAGGTTGATAGGTTAGGTTATAGACACCCTGTAAAAATAATTTAAACAAGCCAGGCGTGATGGCTCACACCTTTATCTCAGCACTTTGGGAGGCCAAGGCAAGAGGACTATCTGAGCCCAGAGGTTTAAGACCAACCTAGGCAACTTCATCTCTACAATAAATCAAACAAGTGGGCAGGTGTGGTAGTGCATACCTGTAGTTCCAGCTACTTGAAAGGCTGAGGCGGAAGGATCACCTAAGTCCAGCAGGTAGAGGCTGCAGTGGCTGTGAGTATGCCACTGCACTTCAGCCTGGGTGACAGAGTGAGATTCCAACTGAAAAAAATAAAACATTAATAATAATAATAATAATAATAACTTGAATGCAGTAAAAAGAAAGGTATTACTCTTTCCTTCCTCCTTTCTTTCATCAATTTGCATGACCACCAGGGAGGGTGGCTCAAGTCTGTAATCCCAGCACTTTGGGAGGCTGAGGCAAGTAGATTGCTTGAGCCCAGGGTTCGAGACCAGCTTGGGCAACTTGGCGAGACATCTACGCAACAAATCAAAAAATTAGCCAGGCATGGTAGTACGTACCTGCAGTTCCAGCTACTTGGAAGGCTGAGGGAAAGGGGCGCCTGAGCCCAGCAGATTGAGGCTATGGTGGCCGTGAGCGTGCTACTGCACTCCAGCCTGGGTGACAGAGTGAGATTCCAACTAAAAAAAAAAAAAAAATTTGCATCACCTTCTTCAATACTGACAACGGCAGGATAACACAAAATACACAATTTTCCCATCTATTCTCAATGTCAGTATATGGTATGAACTTACCCCAATTCCCAATTAACTCCATTCCATCAAAGTAAAGTTTTCAAGAATGAAGATATTAATATTAAAGTAAATATAAATGTTCTTTTCCAATTGATAATCATAAATAGAACAAGCTACATACAATGTATAATTTGACTTTTCTGTTAACATGATACATAATAGTTACTTTTAAAAATAAAGCTATTACTTTCAATTAGTTAAAAATAAAATTTTTACCTTCAGATAGTGCTCAAGTTTAAATTCCAGGCCTCAAGCATTGTACTACCCCCAGAAATGCTCTTTCTTGTCCAGCGAAGTTCTTCCTTTTGGGGCACTAACTCATGATACTTGTAGCTTCATTTATATGAAAGCTTGAATTGTGTCTTAGCAGCATTTTCTCTGTAATGAGAAGGTATTCAATGCATAGTTTATTTTTCTACATATAAAGAAAACTACTAGATTTTGTTATGCAGGTTTTATTTTAAAATAACCAGCACCAGCCTAAAAGAACCATCAATTGACTTAGTTAAAGAGCACTAAAAACTAGAACTGACTTCACAGATAACTACGTGTAACTTTGTGTAGGTGACTTAACCTCTCTGTACCTGTTTCCTTATATAAAATTAATTTGGACTAAGATTTAAACTCTCACATTTTATAATTACCAGTGAAACAAAGACCTCTGTAGCAAATTAAATTTATTTTTCAATGAATGTATTCAATAAGCCGGGCGCAGTGGCTGATGCCTATAATCCCAGCACTTTGGGAGGCCGAGGTGAGAGGACTGCCTGAGCCCATGGACTCAAGACCAGCCTAGGCAACTTGGTGAGACCTCATCTCTACAATAAATGAAAAAGTTAGCCAGATGTGGTGGTACGTGCTTGTAGTTCCAGCTAACAGGTCGAGGCTGCAGTCGGTGACTGTGAGTGTGTCACTGCACTCCAGCCTGGGCAACAGAGTGAGACTCTGACTCAAAAAAATTAAAAAATAAAAAGGAAAGTATTCAATAACATATGGGTATCTTTTGGAGCCACAAGAAGATTGAAAATAAAAGCCCCTCTCTCCATATCCCCCCTCCTAGGTCCTAGAACTGACAAGCTTATTTTTTTTTTTTTTTTTTTGAGTTGGAGTCTCACTCGGTC